TTCCGTCCTGGAACTTTAGGAGCATCCAGTATCAGGAGGATGAGGGTCCCCGAGGACTTTGCAACCGACTGCACTACTTTTGTAGTCAATGGTTGAGACCAGAAAAGCACACAAAAGCGCAGATGCTGGACCTGGTTGTTCTGGAGCAGTTGCTGGCGCTTCTGCCCCTGCAGATGGAGAGCTGGGTGCGGGAGTGTGGAGCAGAGACCAGCTCCCAGGCGGTGGCCCTGGTGGAAGGCTTCCTCCTGAGCCAGGCGGAGGAGAAGAAGGAGCAGGCTGAGATGCAGGTGAGAGGACTTCCTATTGGGAGTCCAGAAGGAGTTGAATATAATAAACAATATGTTCAAATTATTCTTTCCTTTTAATAATTTTATTAAGCTTATCAAGATATAAAATACTAAAAAATATGAAAATAGTAGGAACTGGTGGGAAGGGAAGAGAAAGAAGTATAGGGGAAAGGGGGAAAAAGGAAAATCATTGACTTCTGACTCTTTTTAATGCAATCGAATAAAATGGTAACATTACAGCCTCAGCCTTTTATCTTTACATCCTTAATACGTACTAGCCATTCTATAACAACAAAATCAAAGTTTCATTTTTTTTATCTCAAAAGAAAAAAATCCTGAAGCGGTTTCCAAGTAGAACCAAAGATGGATGTGTTGTTTTTTTTATTAAAGCAATTAATTTTGGCATCTCTGCTAGTTCCATCAGTTTTTCCAGCCACTTCTCCATTATGCACATTAAAATATTCTTCCATTTTTGTACAAAAAAAACATTCTTGCTACTCTCAACATATATAAAGCAAAGATCCAGATTGTTTTTCAATTTGTTTGCCTATTAAAACTAAAAGAAAAATCTCTGGTTTTATTTTTATACCCACTTTGAGAATCTTCTGCAGTAAAATATAAATCTTACTCCAGTATTTCTTTGCTTTGTCACAAGTCCAGCAAAGATGGTAAAAAGATTCTTGTTTACATTTACATTTTGAACATCTTTTTGAATTTCCTTTATACATCTTTGGCCGGTTATCATGCATTAAATAGAATGATACATCATTTTATAAAAAAATTCTTTTAAATTATAATTTAATAGAAATTTTAAACCTTTCATCCAAATATCTTCCTGTTGTTCAGGCATTATATTATACACAAAATTCTTTGCCATTGGATCAACAAATTCAAATTCTTAATAGCTCCTTAGCAGAGTTCCCTGGCATTCATACTATGTGGAGATGCTTCACTAATCTTTGTATAGTTGCTTATCCATTCTAGAAGAAAGGTTTTGCAGAGCCATTTATTTCTTACTTCCCAGCCTAATTGATCGATACTGAGTGCTTTGCAGTGAGAAAACACTTCATGATGTGTGATGACCATTAATTCTTTTCTCCTTCATACTATTTCAAGTCCTTTACAATGGACGTCAGAGATCCTGAGAGAATGAGGCATCCATCAAAATTCCCTCAAGAACTGTTTTTCAGGAGGATCTCTCAGGAAGATCCAAATCAGGACACCTCAAGAGGTAATAATAAGGTCCTTCCACTCCTCTGATAAATCCTAACTTTCTTATCTTCTGTGTTTTCTCTTCGATAGCATATCTCCTCCCATTTCATTAATTATGCTTCCTGAAATTCTGACTCCCTCACAGGGAAGAATAGAAGGAAATTGACACGTTGTTTTGGGGGAACTGAAACCGTGATTGAACCTCCAACTCAGGTAAGAGAAGAATATTCATTTACTAGATTTGTATTTTCCTTTTCCCTCGGGAAATCAGCTGATGTACATAGTACAGGTAGTCCTTGATTTATGACCACAATTGAAACCCAATTTTTTGTTGCTAAGCAACATATTTGTTAAGTGAACTTTGCCCCATTTTACGACCTTTCTTCCCACATGTGTTAAATCAATGACTGCAGGTGTTAAGTTAGTAATATGGTTGTTAAGTGAATCTGGCTTCCCTATTGACTTTGCTCTGAGAACTTCACAAAAGGTGATCACATGACCTGGAGACCCTGGAACCGTCATAAATATGAGTCAGTTGCCAAGCATCCGAAGTTTGATCATGTGGCCATGGGGATGCTGCAACATTCGTAGGTGTGAAAACTGGGCATAAGCCATTTTTTTCGGGTGCCGTTGTAACTTTGGTCACTAAAAACTGTTGTAAGTTGAGGACTATCTCTACTGCCTTTTTCCATTGTCCCCTGTGCTTTTGATTGGGGATTTTTTTAGGATTTTTTTTAAGACTAGTACTTTAAAAACAAAACTCTTTTCTCTAATTATTCTCTCAACTTTTCAATAAATAATGTTTTACAGATATTTTCACGGCGCCCATTCTTTCTGTAATTCTTTGAGTTGCATTTGTGGATGGATCCTCAAAAGTATTTAAATATTCACACCGGGATATTACCATTTTTAAAAGCTTCATTTACAATCATTGATAAAATAAATGATTAAGAACAAAGATTTTTGAAATCCCAGGACAGTGGGATTTATTTGCCTCCAAATAAAAATTGTTCTGAAAGAGCACATAATCAAGGCCCTCCATTTTATTATTTACTGTCGTGTCAATGGCTCAGACTATTAGCAGTTTTCTTGCAATCTGAGAAGGGGCAGAGTCTCTGGATATTGAGAGCATCTGTCCACTTTCTCATCTAAACTAGGGAATCCTACTAAACATAGCCATTTACCTTAGTGCCTAGCTTTGCTTTGGGAATTTATAAACAATAGGACAGATCCTATAGTCCCTCCTCAATCTGTTCCGTACTTTTTTGCCTTTCAGGAGGGTCGTCTGCCCTTTGAGGAGGTGGCTGTGTATTTCTCAGAGGAGGAGTGGTCTCTGCTGGATCCTCGCCAAAAAGCGCTGCATTGGGAAGTCATGCTGGACAATTATAAGAACGTGGCCTCTCTTGGTAAGCGTTTCCTATTCGGCAGTCAGACAGTTCATGAAGACATTTTGTAGTTAGATGCCACGGATTACTTCTTATGAAATCATCTCCAAATAGATATCCTCTCCTCAGAGGGAGAAGGAAAAGTCATGCTGGTCTACTACTCCTAGGAAGAAAATAGGTCAATGGCATTCTGTTTAGATATATTCTATCCCATTTGTTTTTCTATTTCTATTTAAACACATTAGTGACAATTCCTTAGTTTGCAGTGATGCCAAACTCCATCACATAGATTTTAACTATTTTTGGCCCAGATACTTCCATATCAGTCCTATCAAGAATTGCCATTTAGGTTTTTTGATTTAATGCCTTTTACAAGTTTTTATGCCTCATGAATAGTGATATTATCATTTCTATACTAAACCATTATAATTATACAAATATACAATATATTGGAATCTGGCAAAATACCTGAAGGCAATTACAGGTAGTCCTCGAGTTACGAATATAATGGAGCCTGCCCATTTCATTCGTAACTCAAAAATTCATGGGAATATTTATTTATTTATTTATTTAAATTTGTATACCGCCCTATCTCCCTTCCGGGACTCAGGGCGGTGAACAGGCAATAATAAAAATCACAATAAATCTTGTACCTTAAACAAGATCACTCCCTGCTTTCACTCACATATTTGCTAATTGAATGTGTTGGGTGAATACGGGGTTCATTATTTGCACATGAGGTATCTCAGGATGGGGAAGGCCATGGAGGGCCTAGTGATGGAACAGGCCCCCAAGGCCTCCACGATTCACAAAGATACTTCGCACTTCCCTCTCCATTTCTGCTGCGCCAGATTTACTTACCTTGAAAAGATCCATCTCTTCTCTGCCGGGTTCCTGCTTTTCAGGGAGAGGAGAGTCAATGGAAGTTCCTGCGTGCTGTAATATCGCATGAGTTCAGGCACCCATCCTCTTTTGCAGAGAATGGGTGCCTGAACTCTCACGGTGCTTGTGGTGCCTATCTCCTGCTCTCCCCCCTCCCAACTCTGGAGCCACATGGCCACTACCCCTGGCTTCTGTTCTGCCAGCGGAGGCCTGTAGATCAGGCTTCTGAAGGCGCATGGAAGTATCCCCTGACCTCCTTTCTGGGTAGCAGCAGCCTGAAAAAGGCCTCCAATGCCTGGACTGGGCCTCCAGAGCTAATCTGAAGCCTCCCTCAGCTTCTGTTCCATTCTCTGTTGCAGAGAAAGATGCCTAAACTACCATGAGATCACTCGAAATCAGTAGCGTGAGATCTCGCATCACTGATCTCACCTGATCTTGTGTTACTCTAGGCTTCCATTCTCTGCGAATGCACCAAAGGCCTAGAACAGCCAAGAAAGCAAAGGTGAGTACCCACAGGCCTAGTGTCTAGGGAGACTGGGGTAGGGTGGGGGGAGGAAATAGCTAGGGTGAACGTTGCAGGGCTACTGTGGTTATTAGTAAGGGTGAATGACTTCCATAGTGTGGAAACATTTGCAATTTCAGGAGTTTTTCGTAAACACTACTGGTTGATTATTTCGTAAATTTGAACGTTTGCTAAGGGAAGGTTTGTAACTCGGGGATTATCCGTAATATAATTTCTGACAGGGTGGTCTTTTTCCTTAACCTTTCTATCACTTTCATTTCTCTTTTCCTTTGAAGGTGATAATGAGAATGACAATAAAGTCGCTGGAGAATTAATCAAAGTGTTCAAAAAAAGAGACGTAATGGAGAAGACTCCAATTCAAACGGGATTCCAAAGGCAGGAAATAAACCCTTCAAATAACTGGAATAAGGAAAGCTCATCTTCCATTGATGCTCAGATGCAGGACTTTATTGATCAACGGGGGAAAAAAAAGAAAAAATACATTAGGAAAGGTGCAAGACTATTCAAAGACACAGTAGATGTAAATGAGCAGCATCTATCCCAAGTCAAAGGACAAGATTATATATCTAAAGACAAAGGAAAAAATTACAAAGGGACTTTCTCACTTTCTCAAGAAAATGCATCTCTTCTGTCACAGAAACGTTTTCACATGGGAGAGAAGCCAAATAAATGCACTGAGGATGGAAATAAGACTGTTTATAAAAAGATAAGCACAAAGGAGAAGCTATATAAATGCAGAGAGTGTGGAAAGGGCTTCAGCAAACCAAGTCATCTTACATCCCATCAAAGGATCCACATAGGAGAGAAGCCATATAAATGCATGGAGTGTGTAAAGGATTTCAGAACAAGCTGGGAACTTACATCACATCAAAGGATCCACACAGGGGAAAAACCCTATAAATGCATGGAGTGTGGAAAGGGGTTTAGAACAAGCAGTGAATGTACATGCCATCAAAGGATCCACACAGGGGAGAAGCCCTATAAATGCATGGAGTGTGGAAAGGGCTTCAGAAAAAGCAGTAATCTTATATGCCACCAAAGTATCCACACAGGGGAGAAGCCCTATAAATGCATGGAGTGTGGAAAGAGATTCACCCAACATGGTAGTCTAGTATCCCATGAAAGAATCCACACAGGAGAGAAGCCATATAAGTGCATAGAATGTGGAAAGGGCTTCAAGAAACACAGTCATCTTACATCCCATCAATGGATTCATAAAGGAGAGAAGCCGTATAAATGTATAGAATGTGGAAAGGGCTTTACCCAACACTGTCATCTTAATTCCCATAAAAGACTCCACACAGGGGAAAAGCCCTATAAATGCCTGGAGTGTGGAAAAGGCTTTACCCGACATAATGTTCTTATTTCCCATAAAAGAGTCCACACAGGGGAAAAGCCATATAAATGCATGGAGTGTGGAAAGGTCTTCAGAACAAACAGTCATCTTACAGTCCATCAAAGGATCCACACAGGGGAGAAGCCATATAAATGCATGGAGTGTGGAAAGGGCTTCAACAACCAGAGTCATCTTACATGCCATCAAAGGATTCACACAGGGGAGAAGCCCTATAAATGCATGGAGTGTGGAAAGAGCTTCATCCGACATAATGTTCTTATTTCCCATAAAATAATCCACACAGGAGAGAAGCCATATGAATGCATGGAATGTGGAAAGGGCTTCAGTCAACACAGTAAACTTACATCCCATCAAAGTATACATACAGGGGAGAAGCCATATAAATGCATGGAGTGTGGAAAGGGCTTCAGGACAGGTAGTGAACTTACATCCCATCAAAGGATACATACAGGGGAGAAGCCCTATAAATGCATGGAGTGTGGAAAGGGCTTCAGGACAAGCAGTGACCGTACATCCCATCAAAGGATACACACAGTGGAGAAGCCCTACAAATGCATGGAGTGTGGAAAGGGTTTTACCCAACATGGTCATCTTATTTCCCATAAAAGAATCCACACGGGAGAGAGGCCACATAAATGAATGAAGTATGGAAAGGGCTTCTACCAACACCATACTCTTACTTCCCATAACATCATTCATAGATGCGAGAAGTCAATCCCCAAAACAAAGACAAATTTGGATGAGAATGAATGCTAATTATTGATTTAGTGGTCTCAGTCTCTGGATTTCCAATATACCCAGACTGAACTCTGAAAAAAGGGGTTTTTATGTTTCACACTCCTGTCGCCCTTAGAGAGATGAATTTAGTAAGAAAACAATGTGCATATGCTATTATAGTTATGATCTGTATTTTTGAATGTATCTGTTTATAGCTTCATTTTATTTTATTATTTAGAAATGAGCTTCCTGCTTCCCAACTGTCATCATTCTCCCACTTGGTCATAGTTCTCAGAGGGATGCGAAGACATTTAAGAGGTGCTGCTTTATGGCAATAATGGCGCAAAGACTTGAAAGGTTTTTAGTGGATTTTATACATTCTGATCAAAACGGCTTCCTATCTAAAAGATACATAAGAAACAATGTTAGGACTATTTTGGACATATTATGAAGTGCATAATGAAAAGCAAATGTGTTTAATTTTTCTTGATGCACAAAAAGCATTCGACAATGTAAAATGGGATTTTGTGTTCAACCAGTTATTGTATATGGACTTTGGGGGAAATTTTTTAAATATGTTTAAATCAATCTACTCTAAGCAGGTGGCCAGAGTAATAATTAATGGAGAACCGACGGATAGCTTTCAAATCCAAAAAGGCACGAGGCAAGGTTGCCCATTATCACCACTGCTGTTTATACTATCTCTTGAGGTACTAACTAGAGTAATTCGGCAAGATGAGCAGATCAAAGGTCTAGAAATTAAGAAAGAGACATATAAAACACAAGCCTTTGCAGATGACTTAGTCTTTATAATTGAAGAACCATTACAATCAGGGATAAGATTAATGGAAATACTGAACAGATATGGGGAGATAGCTGGCTTAAAGATAAATAAAGAAAAAACTAAAATGCTCGTCAAAAACATGACCAAAATCCAGGAAAATGAATTGGTTGACAGAATAGGTGTTCAAATTACAAACAAAGTTAGATATTTAGGGATACAACTGTCTGCCAGATGCGTTACACTTAAAAGGGATAATTACG